GCTGTGTGTTGGTTTTTTTACTCATTCACTCACTCACTCACTCACTCTTCTTTCACTCTATCATTCCTATGACAGAAAAAAACTTGTCCATTTTGCTAATCCCCTCATGTAATGTCTATCTTTGAATAAATGAGTGAGTGAGGAGTGAGTGAATAAATGAATGCACAAATGAATGACAATAGGACACAGTCACCAAGCACTTACCATGTACAAGGTACTGTTCTCTCTGTGAAAATTGTCTGGTTTAATAATTCTTCCATCTGAAATCAACCACATGATGTGGATGTTCTTACCAGCCTCATTTTATAAAGAAGGAAGCTGAAGCACAGTAATTGAATAAATTTGCCCCATATCTATGAGCCAGTAAGCAACAGAACCAGGATGGAACCCCAGGGCAGCCCTGCTCCAGACTGTCCATGATTGGCTGTTGGGTACCCCATATTATTAGTGCAGTAAGGGTCTAACAGCCTGATTTCCAGAAAAGTCTAATTGTATGAGATTGAGTCAGGGCAAGCAATGACTAGAAGGCAGCCCTTTGATCTAGATGCCCTCTCCAGATCTTTGCCTTCCACTCTACCTGCCTGCCTGCTCGCCAGCTTCCCTGTGCCCACTGTGTGCATTTTCGTTTATCTCTTCTGTATGTAGCTATTTGCAGGCTATTTCCACACTCTGGTGGAGACCCTGACCGTCTGCAACGCCAATTTGTGCCCACCTTCAGCCCATGCATGGTTCATTGCCTGCAAATATAGATGCTAAATACTTGGTGAAAGGATTTCAGAATGAATAAAACATTTTGAAATGCTTTTGAAGAGAACACAACAAAGCTGTTTAATAAAAGAGAGCTATTAAGTGCAAAAATGCTTACAGAGCAAGCACAAATCAATAGAAGTGTTCTTTGCCTTAATAAAAGCAATGTTTCATGTGTTCCCACCACTGGGCCTTTGCACATGTTGTTTCTTCTATTGAAATGCCTTCTCCTTTCACATGCCTTCCCTCTTTACCTCCCTGTTTGTCCCTTGATCTCAGCTTGAACATCATCACTCCCTCAGAAGTGGTTTCCTGGTCACTGCTCCCAGCCACTCCTTTCTAGCCCTCACTATAACCTGAATTTATGCATTTTCTTCTGTTGTCCCCTGGTCAACATTTTTCTCCACCAGTAAGTCACAGGGTATTAAAGCAAAAGAGACAACATCTGTCTCGTTTACTGTCTCCTCCCTGCACATAACTCACAGGTCATTAAAAACATTGCTGACTACAAAACTTATGGGATAGCAGGCTTACAAATACAAACTATCCTTTTAGAAGGCGTTGTTTTCTGAGGTAGGCTCTTCATGGAGCGTATACTCATCATTGTTCTCTTTTGGGTACAATGAGTGGGTCCCCATCCCCCTGGAATAAATATTATTAAACTATAATCTACAGCATGAACCTTGATCCATGGCTTGAAGTCTGGCTAATGTAACCAGAATTCTGTCATCGCCAAGTGCTTCGAACGAGCGTGAGAGCGACGCAGGCTTGAAACAGAATAATAGCGGGCACTACCAGCTACTGAGAGGATGTGGAACGGCTGAGCCGGGACAGTTCTCATTATCTAATACAGGAGACGTACACTGTGGGCTCATGTATTTCACGATCCCCAGCCAGTCAACAGCATGAAAGGCTGTGGACTCTTTAGAAGGTAGAACCTTGCTCCAGGAAGTGAGTCTAGAATAAGCCATGCCTCAGTTAAGCTGCTTCTTGTCGGATGTCTGATCACTGCAAGGAGAAGAATAACGACAGCTACGCACTCTAAAACATAAACACACTTCTGTGTGTGCTGCCCAGTAAAATCTCACATGGGCATGCTTCTCAGTGAGAGCCATACTGAAGTATGAGCAAGCACACTTATAATGGGAAAATTCTGAAATGAATTCAAAAGTGCTTCCCAGATAGAGTAGAAATAACAAACTATATGTAACACACACACAAGTTGTGCTAAGTTGACACAATGCCATAAAACTGTTCGCGTGAATAAATTAGAACTCCAAGTATTGACATAGCAAGGCCTCAAAAACGTACTGCTGAATAACAGAAGGGGACAGTGGGATGGGCCAGAATAGTGACAGTTTGGAAAAGCAAGAGCAGGCAAACATCACCCTGGACGCAGACTCTGCTTACCCCTGGAGAGAGAAAGAGAGGAGGGAAAATAATGGCTTTGGAGCTATTTCAAGACAGACTTTACCTCTGCCTGCAGTGTTATTTCTTTTTTATGAAGGAATGAACCAAATATAAAAAACAATGTTCAAATTGCTGTAATTTTAGGACAAGTGCACCGGCTGTGTGGGTGTGCTTGTTGTTAGAGGGTTCTATTTGTGAACTGCTGCGCGCTTTGCCTTGAGTTTGGGTGCAGGGTCTTGCCACGCAGCCCTGCCTGGCCTTGAGCTCTTGGCCAGTCCTCTCGCTTTAGCCTGACACATGCTAGGGTTGTGGCGTATACCGTGACATTGGTTTCAGATAATGTTTTAAATGGCCGCAGAGAAATGAGAAATGGCAGGAAGAGAGAGGAAGAAAGGAAGCGAGAGCAAGGAGGGGTGAGAGGAAGGAAGGGAGGAGAAAGGGGAGAAGAGGGGGAGAGATTCTGGCTTTGTTCCTAGACATCAGACAGAGGACAAAAGCTCTCTTTGACCCTCGATTGCAAAGCAAGATCGACAGTGTCCAGAGTTGATTGTAAGAATGAATGAGAATCAGTTTTATCTAAATAAATTTCAGACATCCATGGGGTTAGTGCTTTTAAATTATTCCCTAATGCCTTTCTAATTGCATCGTATTCAGGGAGATTCATGTTTATAAAAGCTATCAAAGATTGTTTCTGTGAGGGTGTGTGTGTGTGTGTGTGTGTGTGTGTGTGTGTGTGTGTGCACGCGCACAGGCATGCATTCATATACATATAAAATCATATACATCTGTGATATATGGGTTTGTGTACATATCAATTGTTTATTGGCAGCAGTTATCCTAAGGGAAAAGAAGTGGGTGATTAGAAAACAGTAGAAGAGCAATTCCTATTTTTTTGTGATTGTTTTTTAAGTATGCACAATGTATGTTGATCACTTGCTCCAAAAAAAAAAAAATCAATACAATTCTTTTTAAAATTATTGCAAAGGTCATCCCTTAAATGCACTTAAAAGGAGGTCCTAGAATCTAACTTCCATAAAGGTTATTAAAAGGTCACTCTGCTGAAGATGTAACCAAGTGGTAGGGCATTTGTCAATATGTAAAAACCCTGGATTCTATCCCCAACACCATAATAAGGAGGTATACAGCTCAAGCAGCATGGAGGCCAAGGCACCCTAGCCCCACTGCATTACACTTGTCTTTTTGCTGTTACAAACTGTCTGGGGTGGGGGTTGTCAGGGTGCAATCTTTCACGGGGACGTGGAGGCAGGAGCAGGAGGCTGCTGGTCATGTGGTATCCTCAGCTAGGAAGTAGAGAGAGATGGGTGCTTGTGTTCAGCTGGCTTTTTCCTTTGTGTTCAGTCCAGGACTCCAATCCAAGAAACAGTTCCACCCCTCTTTAAAACGGGCCTTCCCATCTCAATTAATCCTTCATAGATAGGCCCAAGATGCCTGTCTCCTGGGTGATTTTAGGTCCTGCCAGGTTGGTGATCAGCATTAACCATCGCACCCCTCTTTCCACAGTCACTCGGACAGACATTTGGTTAAGGCTTCAATTCGGGGACACAGCACGGACTCACCTGGGCACTTGCGGTTCCAGTTTCACGTCTGTAGTCGGTTAATGTCAGAATCACCTCTCACAGTTCCGTGCAGCACAAACAAACTACAGCATGAGCATATATTTAAACTGTATCCAGCTGTTTGTCTGAGGTGTGATCTGTGGTGCTGGGTGTCCCACAGAAACACCCATTTGATCCTCTGACATCCCATCCAAATGAGAGGTACCCCAGAAACCTCAGACCTAGGGCCTTACTGGCAGCCAGTAGTCATCTCTGCCTTGGGGATAACCTTGATTCTCTTCTCTCCACAGCAAATATCTTGACGGTCATAATCCTGTCTCAACTGGTGGCCAGGAGGCAGAAATCCTCCTACAACTATCTTCTAGCACTTGCTGCTGCTGACATCTTGGTCCTCTTTTTCATCGTTTTTGTGGATTTCTTGTTAGAAGATTTCATTTTGAGCATGCAGATGCCTCCGATCCCTGACAAGATCATAGAAGTGCTGGAGTTCTCCTCCATCCACACCTCCATTTGGATCACAGTCCCCTTAACAGTTGACAGATATATTGCTGTCTGTCACCCACTCAAATACCACACGGTTTCCTACCCAGCCAGGACCCGGAAAGTCATTGTGAGTGTTTACATCACCTGCTTCCTGACCAGCATTCCCTACTACTGGTGGCCTAATATCTGGACTGAAGACTACACCAGCACCTCCATTCACCATGTCCTTGTCTGGATCCACTGCTTCACCGTGTACCTGGTGCCCTGCTCCATCTTCTTCATCTTGAACTCAATCATTGTGTACAAGCTTAGAAGGAAGAGCAACTTCCGCCTCCGTGGCTATTCCACAGGGAAGACTACCGCCATCTTGTTTACCATCACCTCCATCTTTGCCACCCTCTGGGCCCCCCGCATCATCATGATTCTCTACCACCTGTATGGCACACCCAAGCAGAAGACTTGGCTGGTCCACATAATGTTGGATGTTGCCAACATGCTGGCCCTACTGAACACAGCCATCAACTTCTTCCTCTACTGCTTCATCAGCAAGCGGTTCCGTACCATGGCAGCTGCTACCCTCAAGGCCTTGTTCAAGTGCCAGAAGCAGCCTGCACAGTTCTACACCAACCATAACTTTTCCATAACAAGTAGTCCTTGGATCTCACCAGCAAACTCACACTGCATCAAGATGCTGGTATACCAGTATGACAAACACGGAAAGCCTATAAAAGTATCTCCGTGACCGAGTAGGGCTGGCACTTGTGCCTCTGTGTAATCTGTTTCCAGATAAGAGGGTTCCATCCTCTGGCTGAACAGCTCTCCTTAAGAGTGCTAACCTGATTTCCTATCTCCACAGACTGAGCAGCTCTCAGACTGGCAGATGAGAAGAGAGATGGAAGAGAAGAAAGGAAAGCATGAATCTTGTTTTTCTTTTGTGCACTTAGTTTCACAAAATCACACTGACAGCCAAAGTTCCTGCTGGCTTGAAGATGCCATTGGCAGTTATAAATGCCGTCATATTGTGACCAATAAAGACCATGGTAGTGGAGTAGTTAGTGCTGGTACCATCCACAGCTACTAGGAACCAACCACTCACGTGTGTAGCTGATGAGGTCATCCATCATTTCCCTGTGCCATTGCCAGCAGCTAACAAGGCTGACTGTTTTGGGGTTGTTTTTTTTCCAAGGTGCCCTTTGTCCTAGGCAGGGTTGTAGTCTCCAAGTGGTCCTGGCAACTCTGGATGCAGAATGACAGCATGGGGAAAGAAAAGTATCAAATACCATCCAAACTGTTGCAGGAATGTCTATGGGCGGCTCCAAACCGACATGACTATGTCCCTTAGACTTGGGGTCTAAGGGGCAGTTTTCTATTTGCCATAATGTATAGATTTTATGTCTCCTCTAAAACAAAGACCCTGCCTGGTGCGTGGGGGAAAGGAGGAGTACTTGAGCCCAGAAAAACAAAAAATCAAACCCACTCTTGCCACTGTTTCAATTCATCCCTGTGTCAGCTGTATGCGACCGTTGCATTCAAAAACATTTCCTACTGTGGCACTGCGCACGCTTCCCAGAGAAGCCTCCGATGCGTCAAGTTTTAGTTCTGCCTCTTGCTTGCTCAAGCTCCCGCCAAAACTGTTCAGTCATGGGGGGGGGGGGGTTCAGAAACTGCAGCTCTTCTGGTGGGTAAGGAGTGTCTAGCTCCCACCACAGCCCACCTGGCATCGCCATGGAGGACCCCAAATACAAACAAAACTGATCCAGAGGGTATGCCCTTTGATGTAAGTGGCTCAGTTAGGTGGTGCCAATTATCATTAAAGCCGTTCAACTCAGATGCTTCAAAGATGATAAAACATATCTATTATTCTCCCCTTGCCTATTCAAGGTAAGAATGAGTCAGATAGGGGCTTCCTAAAGAATTAACACTTGTATGTACAGACATATAACACACACATACACACACTGTGTCCTGTGGTGTGCTTTAAAGAAGATATGAAAGCTAGAGTTCCTCTTATTTTGCATTTTATTTGTGCCCCTTTTCAAGATTCCCAGCATTTGAACCCATCCCTGGTCTGGAAGAAATCTTTAAAATGATTTTTGAAACTGCATGATATTTTTGGTGACCAACCCAAACATAGTGAGCTGGAACACTTGGTTCCACAGGCTTGATTTCTACTGCATTTTCTTCCTAAATCGGAAGGCATGTGCCTATCACGTTAAGGGGTCTTCAACAAAGAAATGGGATGGAAAGGTCCCCGGGGCAACACAAGTCCTAAACTTCCACCAAGGCCCTTCAGTCCTAACCCAGTGGAACTTGGGGTTGTATCGCTCCTGCTGGTGTTCGTTCCTATCCCTTTCAAACGACTCATGGGAGAGTCTCACCAAACCCAATGGTTACATTTTAAAGTCAGTGCAAAAGGGAATGACTTTCTGGTTCCTGTACCTAGTCCTCAGGGAAGAGGACCTATGAACACCCAAGAAGTTGCATTTTTCTCCAGTGTTGGGACAGGCTGCTGATACTTGGGTTGAAGATAATACAGAGTCAGCTGGTGTCAGGGGATGTGTCCTACTATGGTGGTATATCTGAGAACAGCAGGATGACCTGGACACAGCAAGCCACTCCCACTGAAAAGTCTGCAGAAGTTACTCACGTGAGGGATGAGCAGAGTCCTAGCTTCCATCTTGCTTGCTCCCCAGACCATATGCTCAGTCCGTGAAATGAGAACAATCTCTCCCACATCACTTGAATTGCATCTCTTTCTTTCTTTTTCCCCAAGCATGTACAACTGAATGTATGTTCATTAGCTGTGTGTATGACACATTTCCACTGCACCCGCCCCATAAGTAACATTAACCAAAGGCTACCTATCCTGAATATATATTATATATGTGTGTGCGTTTATTTATTTTTTAAAACATATATCTCTGAAAATGTTAGTTTGAGCTATACATAAATGATTCAAAGTGCAATATCTATAAAGGTTAAGCAATTCCTTTTTGAGAATGTACACAAGATGAAGGGCAAGTCTTTGACTCTCACTGCTGTCTGCTCTGTGTTTTAATTGTATGTAAAACATATTAATTATTTAAAAGCTGGGTGTGCACTGGGAATGCTTTGCACAGATTCTCACTTAGTACTTTTCTTAACAGTAGAGTTTCTACCAGGTCGTACGGTGTCATCTCTTTCTTCTGACAACATTTCCTATCTCTCTACGTCATTTTTTAAGCTAATCTATGAAAGCACTCCAGATAGTTGCTACATCTTCTATTTAAAATACACATGGATACCCTTTTGGATATATATATATATGTATATATATATATATATATACATATATATATACTACACGTGTAGGTGGATATATATATCCACCTACATGTGTATGTATATATACATATGTACTTATGTATGTATACACCTAAAGTTTATTTAAGATCTTGGGATGCCAGAAGGAACATTCATTTATTATTGATATTCATAATAACAGACAATAGTGAAGATGCTTTCTTTCTAACTTTAAACATTGCAAGCCTTTAGGCCTTTTCTTTCAGGCCAGGTTTGGGGATGAAGCCTTGACTATCGAAGCCTGTCACATAAACAGCTGCTGCTAAGGGCCAGCACCTTAGCCTGGGTTTCTGTGGTGCCTCTTTCAAAGACTGTTCACGATCACTCCCATTGCTGTACGATTTGCATCCTTGGACGTGGCGACAGGGCCACACATGTGTACATGCCAAGTCTTTCTCTTAGCAAGCAGAAGCCTGAAAAAGGAGATGGAGGGGAAGGGCAGACAAACCATAGATGATAAGCCATGTGACTGCATGAACACCCGTGTTCCAAACACCTTGCAATAGGAAAGGGTTACTTTGTACAGTTGGTGCCTACCTGTTCAACCTGGAGAGCCCTTTGGAAGCGCATTAATGACTCTAATGTTGACTACTACTGCTCAAAAATGGAACAGGAGGCTACCACCAAAAAATAGTAAATGCTCATATTTTTTTAACTAGATAATTTATTGCGTTTGGACTAGTTTGTATTCTAATAAATTCTAATATGGTGCGGACTTGGTGTTTGCTGTTTGCATATATGTTCAACCAACTGCAGAATGCTGGGGTTTTATTCATATTATTTTTAATTGATAAAATCATAATTGTATACAGTTATGGGGTGTGATGTGATGTTTTGATATATGTATTAAATGTGCAATGATTAAATCAAGCAAATTAACACATTGCCTCACTTACATATTTGTGCTGAGACATTTGAAACTTACTTTTGTGTCTATTATGAAGTTTACAATACCTTATTAGCATTAGAGAACTTCATCTGTGGAATGGGTCTCAAAACATTGAATCTTTATACCCTGAGATCAACAACTCCCTGCTCCTTGGCCCTTACTTCCCCAACCTTCTGATATCATTCTTTTCTCTACTCTTATGGCCCCAATGGTTTTTTTGTTTGTTTGTAGGTTTTGTTGTTGTTTGGACATATGATTGAGATCATACGATCTTTGTCTGCCTGGAGCTCAGTCATTTCATTTAGTATAATGTTCTCCAACTATCAAAATACTGATGAAAGTTTTAAAATATTTTTAAATGAACATTTTACTAATATCTTGTGTTGAATGTTAGCATTAAAAACAGAATCCCAGGTTGAAGAGATGGCTCAGCTGTTAGGCTCAAAAAAACAAAAACAAAAACAACTGCCTTCTTGTTGATCATATGGATTTAAAAAAGTTAGGCCACAAAGTTCTGCTTCCCGTAATCCTAAATTGCTCATCCTGGGTATAAATCTGGGTTCTGTTGTATTTTGTATCCTCTGTGAGTGGGCTGTGATCATAAATAGAATCAGCATGTGGCGAAGTGCTCAGACTTGCACATCAGGCAGCTGTGGACTCACGACCCAACTGTGCCACTGACCAGATGTATGACTTCAGCTGGTCCTTCAAGGCTTTAACCCGAAGAATTTTCCTTATGTGAAAAATACTACCAATTGCAATATTTTCCATTTGTCTGCAAGGCCTGTAGCTGTTCTCATGGTGGGACACCTACAGCTTGGTGTGGAACACTGTGGGCTGTGACCTTGGACAATGTTCTCAGCCTCTGAGTCCCAGATTCCCCTTCACAATGGTGACTAATCAAATTTCTAGTAAGTACCACATAGGGTGCCTATCAGTATCAGGATTTTTACACCACTTTACGGGTGAGGATGCTGAACCTGGGAGTGGATATGTCCAGAATGAAGCCCAGGTCACTCCATATGTTGCCCTTTCTGCTGTGTCTCACTGGACCACCTGAGTTATCCTTCAAAAAGGTCGCATTATTTTTATGACCCTTTTCTAGGGTTGAGAATACTGTATAGTTCTGAAGCTCTTCAAGCCCAGGTCACCCGAGTATGAGATATATTATAACTGCACCGTAATTAAAACACACAGCTTGACATTTCTCTGTCAAGTGGAACTTTTCTTTAAATTGATTCTATCAGCTCTCAAACTCTCTATGCATTTTCCCACACAAACCACCATCAATTCTGACAGCCACCCACAAACTATTGTTACAATCCATCTCTGCATCAGCTTAGAGACTGAATGTGACATAGCTGAGGAGATGTACAGAACAGCAGGAAAAAAAAAATGCTGACAGGGTCACAGGATCTGCTAGCCATGGCCACAGCATCCTCATTAATTTCACTCACCAACTCAGAGAGGGAGCCGATAGAGGCTGAACTGTTAGATAATGATTCTTTTAT